ACAAGGGCCGTAGTGGGGTTGCTGGCTGGGGGGTGGGGCTGGGGTTGGAAGCCTGGAGAGCTGGGTGTGAGAACCTGCAGAAATGGTGGAATTGCAAGATGACTGCCATTGGCTGGCATACTGTGGGAGGGCCTGCTAGGTATGGTGTACAACAGGATTGTGCTGGGTCTTTACTGTGTGCAGCTCCAAGTGTCTAGCCACTGGGGGTCTGCCTGTATTGGATGCACTGATCAAGGGGCTCCGTCCATCCCTGATCTGCTGCTGTTGTGTCTGCCATATAACCTTTCTGTGGCATCTGCACTGTGGCTCTACTGCCTGTGTGCTGTCAGTTTATGCCCCGGGACCCTGCTTCTTCCCATGCCACAGCTGGGCCTTGCAGGCTGTTGCCTGGCTTTTCTCCTTGTGATCATCTTTTTCTTGATTTTCTTTGAAGTGGTGCCAAGGGCTCATGCAAACTAGCCAGCCCCTGGGCTGGGCCATAAAATTTCATGATTCTGTCCTAAGTCCTAGGGCTCCAGAGGACTGGCTAGCCTGCCACTGCCTCTGGTGGCATTCTCGGTAGCACTGGTGGGGCTACCACTTCATCCTGTGACATGGAGCCACAAGGTCCACAGCGTAGGCACCATGAGAGAACCAGAAAAGGGGTTAGTCCCTGACTCCATTGAGGGGGCCATCACCAGACCTGCAGGACTCAGTGATGGTGGTGATGGTGCTGTAATAAATCCTTTGGTGGCATCAGGTACAGAGGGGACAGTGGATGTGGCAGGCACTCTTCAGCATAGGCACCTTTGTAGTGGGCTAGGCACCTGTAGCTGTAGACTCAGCATAGGGCTGGTGTGGCTGAGGCTCCCCTTCTTGGTGCCTGTCTATGGCACCACTGTACTGCATCCCCTGCTCAATCCCCTACACCTAGTTGGCCTTGCCTGGGCTGAACATCAAGCTGGTGTCATGGGGAGCCAAGACACAGGACAAGACTTAGATATTGATAGAGTGTGTGGCACTGGGAAGAACCTGGATGTGGTCATCATGTGGGACCCAGATGTAGGCCCAGAAATGAAACTTGGTCATTAGTGGGATATAGCCACAAAGCAGGACACAGAATATGGATAGATTGCAGTCAGAATCCTGCCCAGTTCTTGAAGGTACACGAGTATTAGTGACACCAAAGCCTCAAAGAGCCTGAGTTCCAATCCCAAATTTGGGGATCTCTTCACCATGCTAGCAGCTCCAGTTCCACAAAGAAAACAGACTGTTCTGTTTTAGCCCCATTCTCAGCAGGTCCTAGAAGTCCAGTGAGAGACGGTGGCGAGACCCTCCCAAGCACAATAGGTATCCTCAAGACAGTATTTCATCTGCCCCACCCTATCCCAACTTCAGTAAAATGCCTTGTCAAACACTTGCAGATGGTTTTCAAGGTCTAACTTGCTGGTGGTTTTCGTGACATTTGCATGCTTTGATAGGGGAGGGTAATTGTGACAGAAGATTTTAAAACCAAATCATTACAGAACATCTACGAGGTGCTTCCTGGCCCAAACCCCTCTCTCTCCTGACCAGGTGTGTCTAGGTGGGCGCCTGAAAAGTGCCAGACTTACAGAGCCCGCGCTTTATCTTGACTGGATTTCCCGGGCTTCATTTAGCTCAACTGTTTCCATGACAACTCCAAAGCTGTTAAGTCAGAAATGTGATAGGGACTCGCAATTGCTCCCAACAACGGAACTAGGATGGTCCCAAGGTTCCCAGGGCTGAAGGAAAAAAAATGGAAAAGCAAAGGGCCATGCCTGCTTCTACCTCCTGCTTCTGTGCTGAGCACCTTCCCTCCAGGTCGGCGGCAAATCTCCCTTAAAGTCCTATCGCCCTCTACCCCTTAACCTCCGCAAGAGACCGCGAGCGCAAAGACGGAAGTGAAGCGCCCGGAAAGGCGGGTTTGGGCCGGCTCTGCCTTTTAAAGGGCGCTGAAGACCCTGGCGAGCCCGCCCCCTCCCTTCAGGAAAGCTACCATTGGCTTTCCCTGGCGGCTTCGCTCTCTTATTGGTCAGTGGGCTAATGCCAACGTGCAGATTGGCCCCAAAGTTTTCTTTCGGTTTCCGGTGTGCCAGCGATGGCGGCCCTGGACTCCCTGTCGCTCTTCACCGGCCTTGGCCTGAGCGAGCACAAGGCCCGGGAGACGCTCAAGAACACGGCTCTGAGCGCGCAGCTGCGCGAGGCGGCGACCCAGGTGCGAGTCCCTCTGTCCTTGGCCCGGGCTGCCGACTGTGCCCCAAAGCTGGGCTGGGTCCCGATCCCGATCCTGACCTACCAAACTTGTCTAACTCAGGCTTTTCTTACTGGGCGTGGGGCTTCTCTCCTGAATCTCCTCGGACTCCCAGGCGCAGCAGACTCTGGGCTCCACCATCGACAAAGCCACCGGAACCCTGCTCTATGGCTTGGCATCCCGACTCAGGGATCCCCGGCGTCTCTCTTTTCTTGTGAGCTATGTAGCCAATAAGAAGATCCACACCGAGCTCCAGCTGAGCGGTGAGACCCCTGCCTGTCCTCCCACTTCCACTTCCAACTCCTCCCTTTAGCCAAGACCGCTGTCTGCCCTTTCTGTCAAGTGCCCCAGCATTCTCTAGATGCTTCATACTGCACTCCTCTGTAAACCCAGGCCCTGGCACTTTAGGATGGAGAGGGCCACCCCTGGTGAGACTGACTGGAGAATAGTGTAGGTCTGAGGGAAAGCCTCTTAACTGTGGTCTCAGGGCTTCTCTAGGGTGGTGGTGCAAGGCTTAACCCCTGAGGAGGCAAAACTGTGATTGGGGTTTCATCGGGGTAGGTAAGGCCTTGTCTACCTACTTCTTGGAGCTGTGATGTCACTCACTGATTCTTCTTTCTCAGCTGCCCTTGAGTATGTGCGAAGTCATCCCCTGGACCCCATCAACACCCAGGACTTTGAGCAGGAATGCGGTGTGGGTGTCATGGTGACCCCAGAGCAGATTGAGGAGGCTGTGAGTCTTTCCTTAGGCATTGTGTACCTCCTTAGTGCTGATCCTGGAAAGGAGTGGCTCATC